CAATGAATACTACCAACCTGTTTTTACAACATTGCATACAACCAAGCCGTTTTTACCACCTTGAATGTTACCAACCTGTTTTCTACCACATTGAATGTTACCAATCTGTTTTTTACCACATTGAATGCTACCAATCCGTTTTTTACAACATTGAATGCTACCAAACTGTTTTTTACAACATTGAATGCTACCAAACTGTTTTTTACAACATTGAAAGTCACCAACCCATTTTTACCACATTGTACCTCAAAGTCATGAGATAGATCGCCTGCCAGGCTCTGCTCATTTAGAGGGATGCCTATAAACTTTAATTTTATTAGACAACCTGTCCTTGGATAATGCAAGGACAGCAAGATGATAGTCACCAAATTTGTGCTTAATAATCAGATCCTGACAAAGATCTGTACCAAATAACAGAAACCCCATCACTTGACGACTTTCAACAGCAGCAACAACTAAAATGATTATTATGTTTGTGGTGAGTACAAAATAATAATAAATCCCTTTACCCACTCCCTTCAATTTTGGGTGAGCTGAGGCAGAAACCGAAAACAGATTCACAAGCCTATTTGAAATTTTCCTTGGAACAATGAAAACCTTGTTTTCACAGGAATTAGCCATTGAGCCTAGAAAAAAGAAAAAAAAATAGCGATCCTATGTGAAATCCTTTTTTATATATGTTGCAGCATACCTACAGACGATAATGTGTATGTACCCATTCATATAAATACAGTTGTAAATACTGTATGTTGGCCAGGAGTTGGAGATTCAATGTGGAATACACTTGACTCACTTCTAGCAGTTGACTACTACATCTACATACCACTGGCAAATCTTATATGTGTTGTTCTTGTCCTAAGTATTATCATTCATTACCAACCTGCATGTGATTATTTTATAACTCCTTTCAAATTTGAGTGAGCTGAGGAAAAAGATGGAAAGAAATTTGCGTGCATGTGTGAAATTTTCTTTGGACCAATGAAAAATTTGACTTCACAGAGATTGGCTGACGAGCTGAGAAAAAAACGAAAACAAATTCTCGAACCTATGTGAAATATTCCTTAGAACAATGTAAACCTTGTTTTCATGGGGATTAGCCATTAAACCTAGAAAAAAGAAAATAGTGCACCTATGTGAAAACCCTTTTTTTAAATAAGGAAAAAAATTAAATCAACAAGAGAAGAGAGTCCGATGTCATGAGAAAAGTTTCATTTCTGTTCATGCATCCCGTTTGAAATTTTTGTAAGTTTCAAATTATTTGCCAATTAGATTATCAGCCTTAATAAATCACTTAGCACTTCAAAGAACTTTATTTCAACAATCCAAGAAAGGTAAGTATTTCAAACTATCTCTCTTTGTCTACTTGTGTACAGATACAACCATATAACCCATTTGTGAACAATGAACTCTCTTACCTTTGTTTTTTAATTTGGTCTACCCTGCGGTGAGAACAAAACAATAATAGCTCCCTTTAATCACCCCCTTCAAATTTGGGCAAGCTGAGGAAAAAGACGGAAAGAAATTCAAGGAGCCAATGTGAAATTTTCTTTGAACCAGTGGGAAATTGACTTCACAGAGATTGATCAGTGAGCTGAGAAAAAAATGAAAACAAATATGTGAGCCTTTGTGAAATTTTCTTTGGACCAATGAAAACCTTGTTTTAGCCATTGAGCCTATAAAAAAGAAAGAAAAGAAAATAGCGAGCCTATGTGAAATCTGTTTTGATATAGAATAAGGGAAAACAAATTAAATCAAGAAGAAGTCACGTGAAAAGTTTCATTTCTATTCCCACATCCAGCATTCAGATTTTTGCCAGTGTCAAATTACTTGTTAATTATATTATCGACTTTAACTAAGCAATTGGCATTTCAAAGAATTTTCTCCCAACAATCCAAGAAAGGTAAGTATTTCAAACTATTTCTCTTTGTCTAATTTTGAATGTATGAAATTGTATACATGTAGTCTGTGAACAACAAACTTCCTTACCTTTGTTTTAAACATTTTTGAATACTATTTTGTGTCGGACGATTTAAACTGTTTGTATGAATATCTCCTCTTCATGTCAATTCATTGAAGCTCTGGACTTTAAAAATTTTTGATTTATTTTCCTGAAATGAGCTACTGACATAACTTCAAGCATGTGAATTTGTAAATAAATTCCTTATCTTGTTTTTCCTGGTCATTATCCTCCATTAACCTTCTTGGCGTGAGTAAATCAACTGTTCATTTTAACCCCTAAGCCCACGCCACCATAATGTAATGAAGATGTTGATCCTCCACACTACATCAAACAAAAAGTGAGGAAGGAAACCTCCATCAATACTGGAAAGAGCAATAAATGTACTGAACTTAAAAAACCTATTTTCTTATTGTTTTCAAGAGAAAGATTTTATAAATTTCTACTGAAAGTAACATTGGTTATTCAGTCAATGAATTCCAAATATTCCCATATAAGGAAACAGTTAATATTACACTTACCATTGGTATTAAAAAAAAAACATACCAGATTCAGCTATCAAGTAGTGAACTGGTCTACATTTGAAAGCACAGTGTGACTAAATTTTGAATTTTAAAAATAGCCCAATTTGTCAACTATGCCAGAGTCCACTCCATTTCCACTTCAGACCCAGCTGTTAACAATTTGCAGTTTAGGTGCTTACTGACAGACGTTCAGATGGACAGACAGATATTGTCTTTTATTTATCTAGATATGGTAATGAAATAATCATTGTGGCTGTGAAACATGGCCTTTCATAGACTGACTGCCTCTACGGACTTTGTGTCTGATGCTTGTATAACAGAGCTGTGAATATGGTTTTCTCCGTTTGGTCTGGGGAGCTCTTCAGCCAAAATTTGGGTTAATACATTCTGCAGCTCTCTATCCCTGTCCTTATGTTCTGACCCTAACCCTACCTGACCCAACCGGATAAACAACCGGCACAGAGTTATCTTTCCTTCCTATCACTGTTGAGCAACACAGGCTTTTTCTTCAGCACCAAACGTTACTGACAATTACTGACTATATTTGCTGCCTTTAGATTAAAACTTGCAAATGGAAACTGGCCAAGCGATGAGGATAGAGAAGAAAACAACCAAATGTAAATAGATGTTAAGAAATAAAGAAAAATGGTTCATGAAAAAAAAAAGAAATTATTTTGTTTGACATTATTATTTTAAACTAAACTGATTGATTTGATTTTTATGGCTTATCAACCTTTTTCAGGTTATTTAAAACCATTTATCACATTTTTAATTTTTGTTGCTCTACCACTACTTACAAGGAAAATGCTCAGACGAAATACATTCCCTGGTCCAACCAAGTCAAACCTCCATGGCTAGAACTTGCCACTTACATAGTAGCAAACCACCCAGATTCCTTGAGTATTCCATCGGTGAGAAGTAAGTTCCACTCTAACAGCACCTTTCTGCAAACCACTGCTCTGTGGAACCGATTCCTAAGAGAACGTTTCATCAATCACTACAATCTTAACCTGTTCAAAGATAGTGTTAACCATTATCTTATCGGAGTTAGCTCCTCCTTTAGTTCCTTAACCCTTCACCAGGGTTCTCTCTCCCCTGGCTATAAATACTGGCTGGCCCTTCGCCTCGATCTCTCTTTTTCCCTCAGGCCTTTGGGCTGCCACCTTGAGGTAAATCTCTTTTCAGCTAACAACAATATGTGAGCTCTCACGGATACAGCGTTTCCCAAATTCTGGGAACACGCTAAGAACAATACACATACGTACAAACACTCCCCATGCCACAACACAGCACAACGCACAACATAATATTCACCACATGCACTCTGTCAATGTAACTGTCCATGTAACTTGTAACTTGTACTTGTTGTTAATACATATATTTGTTTACATATATTTATCGGTCTTGTTTGTTTTCTTTGGACTTAATTAAAGTCCAACTTTCTCATGTAGTTGGACTGGCTAGCAGGAAATTTTAACTCACGTGTATTCTTCTACAATACATACTCATCACTGCCACAGTCCCCTACAATCTTCCACTTCTATATACACAAATGCCCTCTTATCATAACCCTCTACCTTGAGTGGCTCCCGGGTCTTGTAAATGGTGAACCTTACTATAAAAATCATCCATTTATAGACATTTTGGAGAATGGTAGTTTCCTTAGAATCTTGAATAAACAGTTGAAATTTATTTTTTTTTTTTGTCTTTGCAGTCTAAATACTGGGATCTATAAGCTGCTTTATGATGCCAAGGAATTTGCTCAGGTTCACATGCTTCCAAGTGATTTAGTTACCTCAGACTTTGCTTTGTGAAAAGCAAATGCTTCAGTCCCTTGAATCAGTTTCAAATCCTTCACTGCAGTAAATACTCCATTTGAATTTTCATTACCAACTTTCAGACTGCCAATGATGTCTCACTGCCAGCTGTGTTACCCCTTGAGAGAGTGTCTGTTCACAGATACATAGTAAGGCCCTCTTTGATTGATTAAGTATGATGTTACATCAAAACAGTGCAATCGGTTCTTGAGATATTGATAATGGCTGGATACTTTGCAGACATACTGGAAAATTTCTTGTGACGCGTTTCATCAGTTAGGATTACATCGGACTGGGCTTTGTTGATAAATAAAAAAAAATCAGCTTGATATTCTGTACATTACTTCGGTTTGCAGATGGAAAATACTGTAGAAGTAATTTTTTATTTATTTTTTTTTTTAATCATTTTGAAGAAAGAGAAAATTTCCCTGATCAATTTGTTTTTTACTGCTTATCAACCTTTTGCAGGTTATTTAAAGCCAGAAAATATGTTTGGATTGTAAGAATCTTTGGAGATAATCCTGATTTACTCATACAAGTTCTACTAATTAACCCATAGTTGCGGGGAGAAGAGGTTGATTCATACTTTTGCCAAGAGCATCTGGGCCTAAGTGAATATAATGAACCCAACAGGAATTGAAACTTGGTTCTCCAATTTCCAATTCTGTGTCATTGTCCATTTTCACCACCTGCACATCCAAGCTTACAGAACCTGGTATTCCCAAGCAGCCACTCATTTAGGTACAGACTGGACTCAATGTTGCTTAACTTCAGTGATCGTATGAGAACTAGTGTTTCTACATGATATGGCCATAAACCTTTCCTTGATTAAAGTTTTAGTACAATACCCAATACTAAGTTGTTAAACAGTTAAGTCGTTGAGTGAGGAGTGGCCATATTACATTTTATATTAGACCATTCAGTGAAGAAGCTCTTTAAAATGTAAATTGATTTAGAGAGTTAATTATCCCATTAATTAAAATTAAATTAAAATTCAAATAAAGTAAGCCAAGTTCACAGCACCTGGTATTCCTAAGCATTAACCCATCTAGGTACTGACCAGGCTTAACGTTGCTTAACTTTGGTGATTGTATGAGTACTGGTATTTCAACATGATATGGCTATAAGCCATGTTTAAAATTGTATTATGACATTTTTGTGCATGAAAATTGTCTTTTCTATCATATTATTAAAAAGAGATTATGCAAATTTGATTTTAAAATTTTGTGATCAATAATTTTGATTATCATTTTATTATTATCTTATTGTTGAAATGGAAATTTAGGAGGCCATTTTTTTTATATTCTCCCCATAACAACAAAATAAAATCTAGCGTAATTATGGGACTCTATTTAAAAATACTGAGAATTTTTATTCTTCAATATTTACATGAAGAGAAGAAATACACGGAAAATTCTTTTAAGCTCCTTCAATATGCCAACTATATCATATTAAACATGAAACAGAAAGATTGTCAAATATTTCAAACTTAAAGAAAGAACCATTCCAGCAAATCCAATGAACTTAGATATATTACTTTACCTATTACTGTAATTCCCTCTGTATAATACGCATTTTTTTTTCCTAAAAAATAATAAGCAAAATCAGGGGTGCGTATTATGCACAGTTACAAAAAATATTTAAAAATTTTCTGTAAAATATGAATTATCATAAAACTAAATTAGAATAATATTATTCTATGTTTAAAACCATTTTTTTAAATAACAGTAAGAAACATGGGATGTAATGAAATTGGAGAGGTACAATTTATAGGGTTTGATTATCAAACAGGGGGTGCATATTATACATGAGTAGAAGCATTTTTCCACACTTACAGCACAATTTTAGGTGTGCGTATTATGGATGAAGGCGTATTATACTTGGGGAATTACAGTAATTCTATCACAACTACAAATGAAATCAATTTATTTAAGCTTAACATAAATACTTCCAAAACAATAAAACTTAGCACAAAACAAAATAATAAGCTAAAATTAGAAGGAGGGATTTACTCTATAACCTGTAATGAGTGCCACAAGGAATAAATAGGAGTAACCTCAAGGAATTTAAATAAAAGATTATATGAACACAATTTAAGGTATATTTTACAAAACTACACATGAATTAGTTGCCCACTGTAATTGACTATAATTTCAACTACAAAAAAGGCTGCTTGAGAAAATAACTTACTATGGCAAAATTGTATAGAATGTGCTTTTATTGATAGATCATCTGAATAAAATGTCCATCCTGTTTCTTAACATTTCACCTACATTAGCAGATCTTCTATTTCAGTGTCAGAAACTTAATAATAAGGGATAAAAACAAAAGCATAAGGATACCAAATGGGGCACTTCGACATGGTGTAATGGTTAGCAAGCTTGTCTCTTTAGATCAATTACAACTGAATAATAAGTTTGATCCTCACTGAGTGCTCCATACTTTTGGCCTTGTGCCATATCTAAGCTACACTTAGAAAATCACCATGAGAAATCTGAATAAAACTGGTTAGACTATATGCACAGACACGACTCTAAAAAAAAATGAATTTAAAAGTTCAAATTTTCAATATTCTAGCCTCTTCAGTTTTTCCTGTTGATGAAATGTTTGTGTTTTTATATCCCCCTCCCCTTCCTATACATATGTAATTTCATCAATAAAAGCATTACTTCATTCTGATGAAGTCCTAAAGGACGAAATGTCTTACACAGAATTTTTTCCACTTTGTCATTAATCTGCCTAACAGTGTTCTGATATATAGAAATTTATTTATCATATTTTCCCACATTAAGATGTATCATAAGTATTTTCATTTTTGCTCTAAAGCTCATTACACGTCTACGTTCATATCAGGCTTTAAAAGTGAACATAAAATAGGGTAAAGTTGTGTCGGTAATCTTAAACCTTCATGCCCACAAAAAAATGGAGTGTCAAAAGGATGGTCTTTCCCTTGACACCACTATTATTTTAACTACCTTCACACCTCAACAATGTTTATCGTTTTAAAAAATGATGATTAGAATTGTAATAAAACCTAAATATATGGTCAAAATGAATTTATATAAATATCTTTTGTCCTTGAGAAGTTACAACAAAAAATATTAAACACTATTTATTTATTAGATTTTTTATTTACAAGAATAATTTTATATTTACAACATTCTAAAAGCTAATACAATTGTAATAAAACTAATGTAATGCAATATTTATCATTTACCAACTTAGAAAGAAGTAAATAGAAAAAAAAAAAAATTTATAAACTGGCTTAAACTTTACACTCTGCTAAGTTAGATCCTGCATAGTGCTAATTGAGTCTCTGGCATAAGATTAAAGGGACCTATGGTCCAGTTTAGAAAACAGCAATAATAATTTTGAAGAAATAACTTTGTATTCCTCAGTTCATTCCATTGAACTTCAAAACCTCACTTTAACTCTGATTTTGGCTGAAACTCCAATTTGGGTTGAAATTCCAGTTCAGGCCAAAACTGAGTTCTTCAAATCACAAACTCTACAGAACTTCAAAACCTTATGTCACGAAACCTTTCACTTTAACTTTGATTCGTTGGCATCTTGAAGAAATAAAATTGATTTCTTCAATTCACTTCACAAAATTTTGAAGATTTTTTAATCTGAATTTAAAGCAAAGAATTTTAAATTCACAATGTTTTGGGGCTACTTTAAACTCAATATAAATTAAAAACTTTTAAAATCACTAATTTTTTTCAGTTGTTTTAAAATTTGAATTTTTAACTTCCTCTTCCTTATTTGGACACAAGTCCCAATGCTAAATGTAATCACCTAACAAATAGTGTAAATAAACAATCTAATAAATAAATAAATAGTGTTTATTATTTTTGTTGTTGTTATGGTGACCTATCTACATTAGAATGTACTCTTCCTCTTTCATAAATACTAACCTGCGAGAATTCCTAAGGATTCAGTCGGAGACACAGTGTAACCTGATAGTTCGGACAGACACTTCTATCTGCTGACTAATAACACTCTTATTTTCTATATATGTTCTGTTATTTCAATACACTTGTTCAACCTACCTTTTTCTTTCCGTGTCTTTCTTTCTGGCCTCTAACAGGCCACAACAGTTGTCAATTCTCAAGAACAAAAAAAATGTATAAATTCACTTTCATATGTTTAGGTTTTATTACAATTCTAATTATTGCTTTTTAAAACAATATAAACATTGCCAAGGAGTGAAGGTAGTTAAAATAATAGCAGCGTCAAGGGAAAAATCTCTTTTGAAAACATTGTGTTTTTGTAGGCACGAAGGTTAAAGATTGCTGATGTGTAAATGATGTAATGAATATGCATACACTTGGGTTCCCCCTCACAGTAATATGATTGGCTGGTGTCAGCCATAAATACTGACTGATGTGGGGGTACATGGATGCCTATTGGCTACACCTATAGTCTTCGCCTATTGCCTACCACTATGATGAGGACCAGTCCATTACGGTTACCTGCTAGATTGTCCTACCTGGTTACAATAGTCAGTAGAACTTTGCTACTTTGAACAAATATATCCCTTTCTGGGACATATCAGTAAATATGCAAAAGGAAAGGTAATTTTTGCCCAGAGCATTATTATTAAACTTGATCGAATTTATTTTTATTTTCTTATTATAAGCATTACTTTCTCTCTGACTGCTATTGCTAAAAAGAAAAAAAAAAAGGTGAGCACCTTGTACCATACCAGAAAGTGTCTGATTCCTCCTGCCATGCTTTATCTTTACAAGAGTCAGATCAGACCAAAAATAGAATATTCCTGAGATATCTGGGCTGGAGTTACCAAATACTTGCTGCCCAGCCTTGACAAAGTTCAAAAGCATCATCTACACGGCATTGTGGGTGATAAATAATTTCCTCTATATTCTTGAGATGAGGTATTATGTGCACTATTGTCCTCATCTTTGTCACCATATTTATGACAATGTTTTGGCTGTTGTATGCTGGTTTTCTTCAGGTGATTGGAATGTCGAATTTATTTCGCTCACTGGGGTAGACTGTTCTAGTTCCACATGCCATGTTTAATGGATGTCAGTTATCTCCTGTTAATTCCCCTCTTCAAGTTCTCCACTGCCTTAACCTGGTATTGAACTCACAATAACTGTAACTGGATCTAACCAACACCTTTATCCACTGTGCCATCTGTGTATGAATTTCTGGGTATTGTAAACTTAATGTCATCACCATCATTTTTTTACCAGTGCTCATATTGCAATTTTTGCTGTTATCATTACATGTTTTTACCAGAGCTCATATTGCAATTTTTGTTGTTATTATCGTTTTTCTCTGGGATTCCTTATTACTGGTTCCCATATTGTATTCCAAGAGCCCCTGCATCATACAACTGACTCTTGAGAGGATGCTCGCTTGATCACTATAATGTTTACCTCATCTAGTCGCTATTCAACCATTATCTTTCCTACATAGTCTTATAATCTGCATCTCTTAACGCTTACATTCATATGACAGCCTTATTCAGTAATGCTCTAGCTTGAGTGGATTGGGAGAACAAGAGTATAACCAAAAAGTTACTCAGTTGGAACTTAGAGTCATTGAATGAGCATGTGCTCTGTATGCCCATCAAAATCAGAGCGTATGTACACCTAGTTTTGCTCATGTGTATATATTTAAACATGCCTGCAGAACATGGTGTACGCTCACATATAAGCATGGAGAAATGAACTCATATATATGCAAACATTCCCATGAACACGTTTATAACCAAAATTACTTACACTCACATGAGAACACATACTTTTAGTGTTTTCGTTATTTTTTTCTTTTTTGTTACCTTTGACCTCTTGATTTGTACATCACATGCAGCCTTTCTCTGTATCAGATGGAAAATAATAGATGGAGCCCTCCCTACCTCTCACACTGCGCTGGGCCTTTACTGAGGCTCTTGGTGCCTGGCATCACTGCATTGGCAAATTATATTTCAAAGCCGAGTGACAGTTAAAAATTGGTGAGTGATGACAACCCAAGTGAGGTCACAGGATGCTCCATCTTTGTCCAGAATGCCAAATGAAGGGAACTCCCTGAAAAGGTGAGAGACAGACAAACTCCATTTAGGTTTGATCCGAAAGAAATTTCTCTTCCATGG